AACATCGTCCTCATTCCAACAGTTCCTTCTGAAGACAGGGGCCCCAATTTAAATGTTACTTTTTTTTGGTGAGGCAATCGGGGTTAAGTGACTTGCCCAGGGTCACACAGCTAGTAAGTATCAAGTGTCTGAGGCCACATTTGAACTCAGGTCCTCCTGACTCCAAGGCTGGCGCTCTATCCACTGTGCCACCTAGCTGCCCCATAAGTGTTACTCTTTTAATATAAATTTCATGACTATTATTTGGAAAGAAAAGATGAGTTTTGTTTCTGAAGAGGACTGTATTTCAATAAAAGATAAGGCACGTTGCAAACATTTAAAGTCTCAAAGTAAACAGCAAGATAATCAATTATTTTCTTTTAAATAAATATTTTCGTTTAACCTTCTATTACCTGAAGAAAAGCAGGGAAGACGACCACAGGTAAAATAGAGCTGCACCGAGAGTGTACTTTTTGAAAGTCCAAATGACAGAATGAAGTAGGGAGAGGCTGAAATCCATGCAATTATTCAAAAGGAAATGGTCTTTACTATCAAAAATCCCTGCGCTCCCAGAGGCACTTGGGTGGCCGTGGAGGAGGCATGCACCCCGCTGGGGCCGGGGCAGGACTCTCCAGGCTGGACCCCCACAGCCCAAACCTCCTGCCCAGGAGCAGCTGACGACCGCACGGAGAGCAGCGGCCGAAGTCAGAGCTGGAAGGAGAAGGGCCCGGCCCTGTGGGGCTGCGGCCCATGGGAGGAGGAGGGGGAGTTCCCTCCCAGCTCTGCCTACAGATGCTCCCATGGGCTTCCTGAGTCAGTGTCTCAGGGGCCGTCTGCCCCACGGTCCAGTCTGGGCAGAGCATTGTTCTGGATGGATAAGTGCTGGATGCTTCTCCTGGTCTGGTTGTTTCTGGCAGTGTCCCTGCCTGAGGCTCCTCTCGATCTTTACAAGCAGTATCTACCTGGCCAGGTGAGCAGGCCGGGGCAGGCATCATAGGAACCCACTGGATGGTAAGTCCGGGAAGGGTCTGGCTTCTGCTTGGTGGAGACAGGCAGCAGCCTGAGGGTCGTTCAGGCCGTCTAATTGAGCTGGGTAGGTTTCATTTAAAATGTCTCCATTTAAACCATTCTGAAACTGGAAAAAAGAGTCATGAGCTTAATAATGATAAATAATAATAATAATGATGATACTAACATTTTTAGCACTTTAAAGTTTGCAAAATGATTTGCAATCCTCACAACAACCTTGAGAGGTAAGTGCTATTAATGCTTCCATTTTAGGAAACTGAGGTAGAAAGTTTAAGTGACTTGTCCAGGGTCACCATACCGATAAATGTCTGAAGCTGGATTTGAACTCAGATCAGCATGACTCCAGGTCCAGGTATTCTATCCACTGCACCACCTCGCTGTCTATGATCATTAGCACTTAAATTGGAAAAGGCATCAGAAAAATTTGCCTTGAAATATTATTATAACAATATACATTTCTAATTTCGTTTGTTTTAAACATCCTTTGATTATTCTCCAGTTTGGCAAAAACGCTCAAGGTACACGCAAGGATGGAGAACAAGCCCCTGGAGCTGGAGTGGGGCTGGGGGACAAGGCTGCAATTTTTACTTTCATTTAAGAATAGAAGAGGCTTCTCATGAAGTGGGACTAATCTCTAAATATATGCAATGTAAATAAAGTACAAGTGAATCCCTTCTCTTCACCCCCCACAAAAAAATAAAGGGAATGAGTGAGTAGAGAGGGAGAGGTGGAAGATTAGTGAGAGGCCCGGACGGCAATGCCAGCAGCCTGGAGAAGGAGCGTCGGGAGAGGGGCCGCTGGGTTCTGTCTGCATCCCTCCTGAGGAGGCGCTGAGGGAAGGAGGAAGGAGGTCACCATAGAAGGACGCCCCTAATTAGAGCTGGGCCAGGAGCCGACGGAAGACCCAGGCCGGGGCACGCTCCTCTTCCACATCGATGGTACAGCCAGAACTGGCCTTCGCACTGATCCCCAAGGGGATCCTTCACCCCCCTGCTTGGGCCCACGATCGCTCCCCATGGCTGCCTTCTTCTCCCTCGTTACTCTGGCCTCTTCCAAGCCCTCAGTGCCCGTCAAACTCAGGCACAGGGCCACTTTGTAGGTGAAATCTTTCCGTCGCCCTCCCCACCAATAACCACAGGTGTTTGGCTTCCTCTTCTCACTTCCATTACAAGCTTCCATCACACTAGCAGGCCACCAGAAGGCCCACTGTGTGGATCTCCACAGAGCTCTATCTGGGTAGCTGAAAGGTCATTGAGGGCAGGACTTTCACTCCTAGCAGAAAATGGGCACATAGTAGGTGCTCACCAAATGTTCAGTGAGGGACTGATCAGAAACTGGAGTCAAAATGCCTTCAGGAAAGTTTATCAATCAGTTACTTAAAATGACAAACTTAAATGAGGGGACAGAGTTGATTTTTTAAAAATCGAGGAAGAGACTAAGTCTTTATTTGCAAAATATCCATCTTCTAGGATTGAGGATGTACAAGAATTCACAGCAGACTTAGTCTGGGCTTCGAACAAGTTTCTGCGGCTCTGTTCCGCTAAACTCGGGCTTTTTCTCAGGCCTCCTCATGGAATTCCCAAATAAAGTAAGTGACTTAAAAAGCTGCAGTCCTAGTTTGGGGATGAAAGCCCTTGGAACACGAAGGGTGAACTTGCTGCCTACTACCCCAATTTCCAAAGAAGAGGATTTCCTCCCACCCCCACGTTAGGAATGCGGAGGCTCTCACACACTGAAGTGGAGGGGCCCTTCGGAGCAGCTCTGCCCTTAATTTCCATCCTTTCCAACATGCACTGAGGAAAGGATCCATAATCAAAGGAATGAAATCTTTAGTCTCACTTCTCACAAACACCAACGCGATGACTCACACTGAGGAAATACTGAATTAGGACACAATTTACCTTGTCTAACAACGTGTTCTGACTGGAGGCCATGGGGTTGTACTGCATGGCACCCTCGCTGGAGGCCTGGCCTTCGGGCTGGCATTGAAACATCGAGACAGCCCCCGCATAACACGCTGGAGGGGCGGCCAGGGTGGGCTGCGAATGGCCCCCATACCCTGCGTTTTCTGGGGTTTGTGGTAAACAGCCAGCAAAGTCTCCTAAGGGAGACATTGGGTATGGTGACCGTTCAAAACTTCCTATGGGAAAGTCTAAGTGGCTCAGGGTGGACGGCTGGGGGAACAGAGCCTGGGAGCAGGACAGCAAGCCCTGGGCATAGGGCAGAGTGCTGAATTCAGACTTGTACGGGAACTCAGGATCGGGAAAGAGGTCATAGGACTGTGTCTCTGGCTGGGAACAAGGGAAGGGCTCGGGGTCGCCCGGCCTCCAGCTGGCCAACACCCCGCCCACCTGCAGGTGCTTCATCTTCTGACAAAGATGCTGTTGCTGCTGCCGCCGCTGCTGCTCCAACTGTTCTTGGACCATGCAGCTGGAGCTGGGGACGTGAGGGACCCCCTGCGGCAGCTGCTGCAGGGGAGGCTGGGGCTGCAGGGGAGGCTGGGGCTGCAGGGAAGGCTGGGGATGCAGGGGAGGCTGGGACTGCCGAGGGTATTGCTGCTGCAGGGGAGGCTGGGACTGCCGAGGGTATTGCTGCTGCAGGGGAGGCTGGGACTGCCGAGGGTACTGCTGCTGCAGGGGAGGCTGGGGATGCAGGGGAGGCTGGGACTGCCGAGGGTACTGCTGCTGCAGGGGAGGCTGGGGATGCAGGGGAGGCTGGGACTGCCGAGGGTATTGCTGCTGCAGGGGAGGCTGGGGATGCAGGGGAGGCTGGGGCTGGGGACCTGAATGGGAGAAGGTGGACTTGTTTAAGGAAGTCTGCACATAGGTCAGGATTTCATCTGTCAGATCAATGTCTCGGATGTCGTCCCCACCAGAAAGGTCAGTTCTGAAAAACTCCTCCTGTTGCATGTGCCTGATATCTTCAAAATCGATGCCCAGGCTTCTCATGATGCCATGCAATTCACTGTTTCTGCTGTCGGGGAAGGGGCCTGTGTGATCCAAGCTGGCTTCGTGAGAAAGCTGCATCTGCTCCTGCTGCAGCACGTCCTCGCCCCCCAAGGGCACGAGGCTCTCCTGCCAGTCCCCGCTCACGATCCTGCTCAGGTCCTCTACCGTCTCAGTGCCGAAGCCCCTCTGCAGGGGCGCAGCTTGAGGCGCGGGGGGACACAGGTACACAGACTCGTCTTGCTGCAGCATGGCGCCCAGAAGCGAGCTGGGGTGAAACGATTCTTGGCTCTGAGGGTGTCTGGAGGCGCCGTCTTTCCCAGTCCCAGGTCCTTTTGTTCTCACCAGCGTGGGGTCCATCAGCGCAGGGAAGGAGAAGGTGACCTCATACAACACGGCCTCTCCCGTGGCAAACATGAAAGGCAGCTTCGTGTTGCGTTTCTCTAAGTGTTCCATTCCTTCTTCATCGCTGAAATGAGAGAGGAGAATGGCTTAGAAATGAGAGGAGGCCTCTTACTTTAGAGAGACACTCTGGAGAAGTCACTAGCCAAAAGAGCCCTCGGATGAACCTGGGACCAACAGGCAATTCTAAATGGAAATCCTTCTGTGGACACAGACTGCCAGCAGCAGCCTCCTGGACTCAGGCAGGAACTTTGACAGGAGGCTTGAAATCTGTTAGGAAACTAAGGCACCATTTAGATGATATTTTTATTTAAATTCTAAAAAAGGGCAGTGACTGAGACTTTTTCAGACAACACGGCACTATGCCACACAGTCTACTCTCACAAAAGTTTAATGCTTGTGACTAGGCCAACGCTTCTGAGTCTTCCAGGAGGGCCGCAGCTCGTATAGCTATGAGCCACAAAGGAAGGGAGGAGACAACGAATGACTGTGCTTCTCTAAGGAAACACTTTCCATTCACTCAAACCATCACTGGACGATGAGCCCATGGGGTTTGTTCACATGTTCAAGACGAGACACTTTGGACCAAGGTCAAGTCTTTCCAAAGAATGATCTTTGACTAAGTGTTTCCTTGAGAATCTCTCCATGGAAGCCACTCTCTCCATCAGGCCTTCGTTGGGTGGGGTCTGCCTTGTGGCCACTGAGAGAAGAGAAGAAACAGGGCTAGGCCGTGCCAGAGGAGGGGGCTTCATAAGGTCCATGCTGCCACAGGGCAACTCCTCCCACCTCCCCTAAATGGCAGCTGTCCTTCCTGCTCAAAGAGCCCCAAAAGGACATCCCGATTTTGGGGTCAAGGCACAGTGTGTCTGACTGAGAGTGATCAGCCCCACGACACTCAGAAGGCTCTACCTCAGGGTGGGCACACATAGTCTATGGAACATCTGGAAAGGATGTCTTTCAGTTGGCGCATCTCACACTTCCTTTGCGCTCCTGTAGTTACTTCACTCATGGAGCACAGCGCCTTCCGTGACGTGGGCACGCCACGCTGGCTGGTCCCTTGGTCAGTGTTTTCCATGGTAAGCTATCGATTCCAAAGTTCACCCCACCTACTCTAAATACACCCAATGAGAAAATACATGATGGTCCCAACACTGACCTTGGGCATTCAGGCACACACAAGACCCAAGAGAATGGAGGCATGGAATAGGAACCACCTGAACTCTTGTCTCTACTGGACCTGAACGCCTCATCCCAATATGGAGAGCCTAACCGACTCCGTACACTTAGGGATCCATTTTTACCACCTTCCAAGACCCATCAATTTCCCCAATCATCAGGCTCAGAACCTTGGACTCACCACTTACTCTTCTTCCTTCTCTCATTCTCTTAGCATTCATTCGGCTAATCAAATGAATAAACCAAGAGCCATTTATTTAGTGCCTGGCCTACTATGGAACAGGCTGCCCACACCCCTCCAGCCTTCTTAGGCCTGACTCCATCCTGCACATTCTGGGATTTTACATACACTGGCCTCCCTGCTGCTGCTCACACAAGACATGCCATCTCCCACCTCTGGGCCTTTGTCCAGGCAAGTCCCCCGTGCCTGGGAGGCTCTTCCACATGACCTCCCTCTCTGAATTTCTGTGGCTTCCTTCAAGATTCAGATCAAATCTCACCTCCTGAAGGGCATTCCCATGCCCCTCTGAGACCACCGTCCAACGACATGCACTCTCACTAGCTCTCTCTCTTGCCCTCACATATATATATGTGTATATATATATATATATATATATGTGTATATATATGCGCATGTATGTATATATGTAAATATACACATATATATATAAACACACACACGTATCTTGTATGTACCCAGTTATTTACAGCAATTTGCTTAATAAATGCTTGTTGACTGACTCCCATTTGGAGGCGCTGCCATCCGCAATCATGGCGGAAGTGAACACAATGAGGCCACATGAAGAAGTGTATACATATCCCAACAGCAGCTTTTCCATTTCTAGTTTGATTCTGGCTGGAGAGGATAATTTATTTCCCCCAAATGATTTCTAAATCACAGATGCCATTGCATAATTCCAATGATATGTACTAAGTCTGCATGCTCACGTGAGTGGTCTTTGTGTTGCAATGATATAATCTGGTCTTCCATTCTTATACACCAAACGTGCATTCGACTGAACCCAGGTCCAGCGATTCTCCTTGGTGAGAAGCCTAAACACTGTCATGCCACTTTCTCCGGTTTTAATCACTAGAATGAAAGAAAAATCAACAGTCTTAATTACTAAGTAGTAAAATTTAAGATATTAAAAATAAATATTCTCCATCTTCTATTCTCACTTTATATTTTAAGAATTTTATTAATTAAAGATGTGAACAACTCTTGCTTTAGGTGAATCGACTGTTCCACAGACCTCTATGTAAAGCGATTTTTACATAATGTGAATTCGCCATCGAATGTGTAGAAGTGGGGGAGGGAAGAAAGGGACCTCGTGCCTGTGGCGGGAAGGAGTCGGTATAGGGCACACGGACATGTGGGAGCGAGGGGGGAGAAGTGAGAACAGGAGGAGGAAGCTGTGGGGTGGACAGATCCATGGGCTAACAGACAGGCAGGGGCGGATGTGTGGATAGGCGCCTCCTCTGCCAGGTGGCCACATCTCGAGCTGTGCCCCCAGCAGAGGCCATGGAGGGCTCTCCAAGCTGGTCTGTTTTGCTTTCACTTTAGGGATTTTCTTTTCTTTTTTTCTTTTTTGGTGGGAGGAGGGAGGGTGGGATGCCATGGAGCCAAGGGGTAGGAATAGAAGCGAACGCAGTACTGTCGAGTAAAGTCCACATCGGTGCTTGTGGAATGCAGGTTTCTTTCAGAATTCTTCACATAAAGTTGAATTTGTGTAATGTGAATTTATGTAAAGTGAGAACTGTCTGTAATTAAATAATATTTAATGTCATATTAAATGATGTTACTGTCTTAATATTATAGATAAATACACTGTAGAAACGTATTTTAAGCATCTTTTGTATCAAAATAAATTTTTTATTCTTCTATTGGTTTTTTAAAACAATATTAAAAAGGATTCCAGTAATTCATGCAAATATTTCAAGAGAACCACAGCATGAAGAATATTAAGACAAAACAAAAAAAATCACAATGAAGATTCAATCAAAAAGGGAAAAAATTTCCTTATTAACATGAAACTTATTGTGAGTACACCATTAAAAGCAGAATCCTCATCAATAAGATAATGGAGACATGGAAATATTAGAAATTAAAGTTATCTCATCCCTACAAGGGGATTTTATTACAAATATTAAAAATGTCCAAGTTCATAGGCTCTCAACTTTGGCAGGGCCTCGCTGACCAACCTGAATAAGCTACAACTGAGAAGGCATTCCTTTCCTTCCCTGTAAGACCCAAAATACATGCTCTTCTACCTCTGCTTAAAGACGGCCACCAACAGGAACCTTCCAAGACCATGGAAACCTACCTGATGGGGCCTGCATCCAAATGACTGAGAAGACTGTTGGGTCAAGGACAAGCCTGGGGCCCTCTGGTCCAAGGGAGCCCAAACAGGGGACATCATTCAGGCAGCTCCCAAGTCCACAGCTGGCCTCTCACCCAAGCCCTGGTTCCACCCACCCCCAAAAGAGTCTCCTAAGAGACTCCTGGGAGATCCTGGTCCTGCTGAAATTCAAATATTCCACATCACAGGGTCCCAGGCTGGAGTTGTACTGGATCTGAGAAGCTAGCTAATCCAGCTCCTTGCTTACAGAGGAGGAAACTGAGGCCTCGGGGCGGGGTGGGGGGGAACCTGCCACCAGTCACAGTGACAAGTCCTCTGAGTCCAAATGTGTCCCCTTTTCCACTGGATCATATTCCCTGATCGATGGTGTTTCCTCATCTATCCATTACTCCAGCAGAGCTGCTTCTCGCTGAAGCCATGAAGGCTCTGTGAGGCCCTCTCTAAAGGCTCACAAAGCCCAACCTGACCAATGTGGCCAAGAATTTTCTGTAGCTCAGTGGCTACGGACCAAAGGACCTACAGTACGCCCCTTTGAACGTCGGGATGGTATCCGCCAGTCCCGGGCCTGTTCCCTGTCTCCCATCTCCATGTTTATCAAAGATCTGCTTCACTATGCTTTTGGGACTCTTGCTTAAATGTGAGCATGTATCACAGAACAGCCTTCAAGGGGAACGCCCTTCCAATTTGCCACTAAGTAACGGTGGCAGAAACTGCACCCACCCGCTCCTTTGCTTGCCTCTGAAAACCAAAAGCAGGGTTGCGCTGGCTGAGCTTCTAATGGCCATTCCAATTCAGATGCAGTTCCCAAATCTGACTGGGCTTCTTACACACTCCTGGAAACATCCAGAGCACCATGGGTCTGACAGCCGTCTGCTTCACGACTGAACCACCCGAGGCTGGCATGAAGACCGGACATGAAGCCCCACGGGGTGGCACATGTCCTTTCACTCAGTGCTTTACATGCATCCTTGGAAACACCACCTCCTACAGTCCAACCCAACACGTAGCAGCTACCATTTTGCAAGGGGAAAGTACCATCCTGGTGAGACCCACTTACTTCGGAGATGATTATCCGCACAGTACAGCATATCAGCAGCATGGACAAACTGGTACCCAGATCCCCTCATGCATAACTCTGCCTCGGTGTACCCTAAAACAAGTCTTCCTCTGCAAGAGAAAAACCATGAGAATCAAAACAGAGCTACGCTCAGGAAAGAAACAACACGGTTTTATCGGAACCAATTTCCAAAGACAGTCTAACTTGAAACGATCTCTTTTTTTCTCTTAACTTCACATTAGCAAGCAGAATTGCACTTGGGGTGCTGGATCTTTCTTCGGGCAGTTATAAGTTTAAAGTTTTATCCTGGTTCTTCCTTCTACCTTGAATGTAAGTTCAAATTATAAGACAACCAAGTGAATTGGGAAGTGCCCCCAGGAGAACCTGCACTAGCAGAAAACCAGCCCTCTCCCCCAAATGCTAAGCTACGGTCTACCCTACTCCTACTGTCTCTAAGTTATTGATTCTCCAGCTGTGTCCCCCAGAATTGCTGTTGCCATATGGACAACATATGTGTCGGGACAGGGAGGAAAAAGCATAGCTACGGATGGCAGGTTTACAACCAGGCCTTGAGAGTGACAGATTTGGGGACTAAAATCATACTAAGCTCCAAAATCCACCCTCTGGGGCCTTTGGGCCCAAAGCTCCCAGTCTTCCTCAGAGCCAGTTTATCATCTTTTGAACAACGGTAAGTACAGAAATGACTGCGCACATTTTACAAGACAGTAAGATGTTCTGTAAGCCTTGAGAAGTTGTTAAATCTCAGGGGCCATTATGCTGAACGAATCACTGAGGAGTATTAATCTGTATTCAGTTATACATCTTAAAAAGTCTAACAGAGACCAGAGTAAGGATGCTTCCTTCAAATCCAAAGTCTTTCTTAAGCACAGAAATATGAAGTGCCAGGCACAGGGATGAATCTGGGGTTACAATGGCATCCCAAAATGTGGCTGCCCCCCAAGAGCTCACATGCAAACAGCTACTCAGCAGACCTCCCACTTACTTGGCATCACAGCCTGTAGGAGTGAAGTCTAGTTTGTGTTTGGTTCTGAAGATGAAGTTCTTGGTCCGGATTTCCAGGATGGACGGAGGCTGCAACGGTGTGGCCACTGCAAACAGAGCCAGTTGAGGGGCCAGGGAACTCCCATCTTTGGCCTTCTTGTTCTGGCCGTGAAGGAGTTTGAGCCGTCCTTGAAAGTTCATGGCCTTTCAAAAAGAAGAGAATTCACACTTGAAAAGTGACCACGAAACTAACCTACTATCGTGCAAAGAAGAGAATGTAAATTATTATGAACGTTATTATCTTGACATCTCATAAGGTCAATGCAATGCATTCGATAAGCATTTATTCATTAAGCCACAGGGAAAAGCTTGGGTTAGGCCCTGGGAATGCAAGACATAAATGAAGGGAAAAAACCCCTGCCCCTTTAAGCGCTTACGTTTTTGGACAAAAGAGAAAATATTAAACAAGGAAATAAACAGAAAGTTTACAGTTTTCCCATAGAATTCAAAGCAACAATTCACATTTACATATGTGGCCCTTTCTAATTTTAAGAATGTTTTCATCACAATCACCTAGTATAAGGAAGATAATTCTTATTTGACAAATGCAGAAAATGAAGCCCTAACTGAAGCTCTAAGATGTTAAATGACTTGTTCATGGGAAGAGGGGAATTCAAACCCATGTGCTCTGATTTCAAATCCAAAACTCCAATCTATTCTGCCACTCGGTCTCTACAAAGACATCCAAAGATACAGGAGAATGGTGGAAGCTCTCTTCTTGGGTAAGCTGAGGTCTCCTCAGTATGTAGGCCAGTCCAAAGTCATGAGCATTCTGCTCTGATAGAGATGGGGAAGTCTGCTTGTTACACCTATCCCAGATGTAACCTCGAGGGAGATTAGATAAACAAAACTGAATTATATTTCATACAACAGCTAATACTGCATCCTTGAAAGAAAGTTATGATTATTTTACAGTATCTCTTTCTTTTATCAAACTCCTTTGCTGGCTCTCATTTCCCTAAGGTAAAACCACACACACAAAGTCAGTCTCATGACTTTTACAAAGGCCTTCCTTTTTCATACTTTAATGCAGAAATGATGCTATCATCTTAAGAATTTCATCTTACCAAGAAGCCAGATGAGTTATCCAAGAGACATCGGAGGCGGCAGATGAAGCACCTCTCCAAGAAAGGGGAGTTTTCGGGAGGAAGCTGCTCTGGGTTATAAAAGCCTGAGGTCTGGTTCAGGCCATGGCCTTCTGTGGAAATCCAAAGACAGAAACACAAAGGAAGGTCAAAGCTCTGCCTCCCTCGCTGTAATCAAGGCTTTGAAGAGCTGCTGTCAAGGAAATCTTGCCCCTAGAAGGTAAAGCTGGCTCCTTTGCCATCAAACAAGGGATGAAAAGAGTGAATTACCTACTCACAATAAAACTTCCTAATTTTAAATTAGGAAAATGGTTTTTTATAGATTTCCTTCACAAACATAAAATCCTCTCAAGTTGAAGGACGATGATTAACAGTAATAACAGCTCATTTATATGGCGCCTGAGCATCAGTTCTGTGCTAAGTGAAGAATCCCCCGCCTGGGAGAGCAGTCCCTGCCATGGTCCAGAAGCTGTCCACGAGGCTAGAGCAGAGCTGCGTTCTGTTTTCCTACTAGCTGAAGGTACATTCTCCATCCCCTCATTCCTGCCTTTCTTATCACTTCACCATCTCATCTAAAGAGACAAACAATCAAAGCTTCTTTGGCTCCCCGTGCAACCTAGACTTAGCAGACAGGGTTCCCAGAATGGCTGGAGACATCTTGGGGCGGTTACCCAACCTAGCCAAGGTCAGCGTGTCAAAGAGACAACTGACAGCGCCGGGTGTCTCCCTAATGGGCCTAAAAACCCACGTCAAGCCAAAAGGGATCTGTGTGCTTGAGAAAACTGGGCTCGGGGTATAGTTCCCAGACACCCCACAGCCATCCTTTAACTGAATCAGATCGGCCACAACAGCACTTGGGAAGCCAGGTCACCTTGTCCTTGGGGTGCTGAGTCTGCAGCCTGGCCTGGCTTCAACGTCCAGTGCAGCTGACGCTGGAATTCCGCTCTGTCTTCGGTGTGGATGAGCTCAAACACGCTCTGATGGATGACGTCAGACTGAGGAGAAAGTCAAGTGAAATCTATCAGCCCCGACGACAGACTCCTTTGGGGAACGCGTGAAAATGGCTCTGTTCTCTTTTGTGGGTGGGAAATGTGGGACCAGCAAGTAAAGGGGGAGCAAAGGAGGCAGAAGGCCTCTCTGGGAAGACGGAGGCCACTGAGGCCAACTCCCAGGGGAAAAGAAAGACTGGTGTATAATACCCAGCCAGCGGTCATGCTGCCTTGGCTTCAAACCTCCAGCGAAGGAGGCAGCTCATTCCCCTGGGGGACAGCTTTCCCTACGACAAGCTTCTCCTGAAGCAAAGTCTCCAAGGCTCCCAGCCCACCTCGGGACTCCCTGTGGGCCAGCCCTTCCAGTACTGGGCACAGCTGGCACCTTCTCCTCCACAAGGGGCTGTCCAGCTGTCCCTGGAAGTCCATTGGGAGGGCAAGGTTTTTGTCTTGAAGGGCAGCCCTCCCTTTTCCAGGTGGCTCTCATGGTTCCAGCACATCTCTGTGCTCCCAATGCTGACCTCTGGGGCCCAGCAGAACCAGCCCAACCCTCCTGCACATGACAGGCCTTCAAAAGCTTTCAGAGAACAATCATGTGCCCTCTGTGCCCGCCCCAATTACACCAATTTCCTTTCTAAACAGTCAGCTGAGACAGACAAGGCTTCTTCTCCAGATGAAACACATCTCATTCTTTCACCCAACTTAAACCTGGCATCAGTTTGAGGTCCCTCACCTCGCGGTCAGCCTCCTCTAGGGACTCAAAGTCCTTCCCAAAGACTGTCCCCTAGAACCAAACACTGGACTCTGGTTGTGGTCCGACCCAGGCTGAGCAAAGAAAAGCAGGGACATTTATTTATTGCCACCAAGGTCCAGGGTGCCACGCTTTTGGGGAATGTAGTCTGAGATCATTCAGCTTTGTCAGCTGCCACGCCCCAGGGACGACTCATCTTGAGCTTGGCACCCCCCAAATTGCCCAGATCTTTCTTTCAGATGAAACGATGCCTCGTCATGCTTCCCCATCCTGTACTTTTCAAGCTGTTTTTTGAATGCAAGGATAAGACTTTCTATTTATCTTGTTTACTACTGAAATCATCCAAATGCTCCAGCCTGTCAAGATCTCACTGAATCCCCCATTCAGTGTGTTGGCTAGCTCTCCTACCTGTGGGTCATCCGTTACTTTTCTTCTCGGTTCGGGGCCTGTGTTGAGGAGCTTTGGGAGGCTGCCATGAGGGTGCCTCCCCAGGGCATTATTTTACTTCACTACTAACAACCCCCCAGACAAACCCATTTCTCTGGTCAAGGCAATCTCTTCATTGTGCTCAGACCACACCAAGACCACACCATACTCATACTTCATACTCATCTTCTCTGCTATCGACCTAGATCCCAACGCCATCGTCCATCCTTCAAGTCTCCCACGTGACCCTTGGTGATCTCATGCTTTTCGGTACTTCGGTGGCAGCTATGACCTGCAGTATGGAAGCTAGCAGTTTCTTCCATACTCTGCTTTTTTCTGTTTCATCTGAATCAATCCTGAGTCTCTGGCAGATAAGGTTGCTGAAGGCAAGCCCCATGACTCATTTCTCCTTCTTCTCAGAGCCTCGTGCATTCAAAAGTATCTCAGAAGACTACAACATGCCAGGCTTTGTACTAGGGAGTGTATCAAAAGTGTCGGTGGACGTTCCTGGACCCTCCCTTGTCCTGTGGCTTTACTCAGGCCCCTCCCTTCTCCTACCCCCACCCCCCTCATCTCTGTCCATTCCAGGTTTTCTTTCTGTAAATAGAGCATTTCTGAAGAGAAGTTAATGACTTGGAGCCAACCTCTTTCACTTTCTTAATTGATAAAGATTTCCATTGACTGCATAATGTTAGCAGAAACAGTCAGGTTTCATGCGTTCTGCATGCAAATTTCTGCTCCTTCATCCATCCACCAATCCATCTACCAAGACACGTCTATATCCCATGACGCGAGATTTCGATGGCGCTGTCATTTCAGCCCACACATCTGGTTCACCCCTTCAGACATAAGCAAACTGCAAGTGGGGGAGGAGGAACGAAGCTGCCTCTTTACATAACAATTTACTCATTGGAAGGATCTAGTCTTATTTAAAGATGGTGCGGCCTAAACAGAGAGCGAAACATTTCCTGGGAATCACATACAAGTCAGAACCGAACGGCATCTGAAGTAAAGAATGGTTCTGACTTCTTATTCTTAGTTCCCAGAATGCCTCTCTTCCTGCCTAACAAAGGCCCCAGGGGCACCCACTGCTGTTCAATACCCAGACTCCACTGAATAAGCAAAACAGTCATTCACAATCTGTAATAGTCAGGGAGGGGCAGCTAAGGTGGCTCAGTGGAGAGAGCGCCGTCCCACAGACAAGAAGGCAAATCCAGCCTCCAACTGTGTGTAGCTGTGTGACCCTGGGCAAGTCACTTAATCCTGTTTGCCTCAGTTTTCTCACCTGTAAAATGATCTAGAGTAGGACATAGCTCCAGTATCTTTGCCAAGAAACCCCCAAGTCAGACATGATCAAAATGACTGAACAATAATAGGCAGAGAATACTTAATAAGTAGAACCTTTTATGAAATGGTCAAACTGTGCCCCTAAAAAGGTGGAAAACTTCCATTCTGTTCTAGACCCGAGACTTCCCTGGTGTGGGAAGACTCCCTCTTTATCAACACTGGCCAGCATCTGCTTGAGACCTGAAGGCCTCGGAGAGCTGCCCAGAGCACTGAGAGGTCAACATCTTGCCAGGTTCCCCCAGCAGGCACATATCAGAGGCTGGACTAGAATCCTGGCCTCCTGGACGACCAGGCTCATGCCACTCTCCCTCTGTCTCCCGTGACTCACAGAATAACGTGTTTTTCAATAGATATGAACAAAAGCCACTTACCTGCTGGAACCCCAGGTAGTCCTGGATTGTAGAAGAGGCGTAAAAGACCAGGGCATCTTTGGTGACCACCAGCACAAAGCCACTGAGTGCCTAGAAGCACAAAGCACACAAAGGCCAGTCAAATAACTTAAACAGCGATAATCTTTTCACTTTTAACATTGTGAAATTAGAAACAAACACTTAAAATACAAAAAAAAAAAAAAAAATAGCCAGGAGGAGACATGATCTGATCAGCCTTCACACTGCTTGGCCTGCTGGGATAGGAATTGCTGCCCTGCCCCCAGACAGAAGCCTGGGGCTTTGCAGGACAGAACAACTACCAGGGGAGGGCAGGAAGAAGGAGGTCCTCTCCTTCTGGTCCTGCTCCTCACGTTGGATGCCCTGAGGTAGCAGAGGTTTAACTGGAACTCTCCAATGAAATTTTTGAGAAGGTCTGAAGGCTGACGGGGGAAGCCCTTTGGCTGCAATGGCCACATGAAAGGTCTCAAGCAGAGAGCTTGTGGAAAACAGAGAACAGAACCACCAAGGCAAGGGCAGCCCCGTGGCACTTGGCCTGCCACACGCACACCTCCGGGATGCTTTTCTAGCCGCCGTGGAAGATGGGTTGATAATTTCCAGAGGCCTATTCGGGTCAGTGGAAAGAACCCCAGCTTTGACACCATCAGACCTAGGTTCAAACTCCACATCTACCTCTGACTAGCAAGGGGACCTTCAGTGAATCTCAGAACCTCTTAAATCTCGTCACTGATTAAAATTTAAAAGATGATTAGACAGATTCTGTTAACATGTCATTGTTTTATAAACTACAGTTTAACCTAAATTCTTCCCTAAGTTGCCTACTGCCTCAAGTTATCTTGGGAGTAAACCGGGAGGCCAAATCTTAAATAAATATGTATTTGGTTTTAGCTAATTCAAATATAGCAAAAAATGGTGCTCTACCAAATAAATTCTGGTGGGCTACTCTAAAGCAATGATTAAAGAAAAAAAGTATTTAAAACTATTTTAAAAGCTGGTCCCTTAATTCTAGCAGCTGTTATTATACATTAGTAAAATATTTTTTTTTCTTTTTTTCTTTTTTTTTGCTAGGCAATGGGGTTAAGTGACTTGCCCAGGGTCACACAGCTAGTAAGTGTTATGTGTCTGAGGCCGGATTTGAACTTGGGTCCTCCTGAATCCAGGGCATAAAATATTTTCACTAAATATCTGAACAGCTTATAATCTCTGCCTGTAAATTAAGATGAAGATGTCTATAGGAAACTAGTTCTCAAAACTGCATCTCTAACCCTTTACCACCTAAGTACTTTTCAAGCCCAGATTTCCAGTTGCTTACACTTCATACCTATAGGCCTCCCAGGATCACAGGTGTCTTTGTTACGTGGGATAATCTGACCACAACCACAGCTGAGAAACGTTAGTATAGATCCAAAGAGGGAGGACCATGAAGAGAAGACATATACCTTCAATCACAGACCTCATGTCACTTCATTTCTCCCTTTATAAAATCAGGTCCTAGGGACCCAAGTCTGCTCAGACCCACTGAGGGCCAAGCCTGCCTACAGCAGCCAGTCCTGTGGGGCTGGCCCCACAAAGATGTCAAGAAGGCCACAACTCAAAGACCAAAGGGACCAGGTCATCTGCTTATAAATAACAGGGAGCAGCAGCAGCCTCAAGATTCACACTGTGAAAACTGAAATGCATGCAGGAAATGAAAAATTTCTCAGGTTCTGTCTTCTTCAGGGTCACTTTGACCCTGGAGCCCCCATGAGTGGGTACCATTGATAAGAAATCAGATTAGACTGCTCCTGCAAATCTGGGCCTCACAAAGCTCCCTTCCCCCGCTTCAGTGGGGGCTCACGTGGGGTGGAGGTGACCTGCGGTTCATAAAGCCACACCCCCAGAACACAGACTGTCAGGTTTTAGTCATGCTGAAAGGCTCTGAGAATGGCCTTCAGGATGGAGGCTCGTTACCAGTAGGCTGAGCACGTGGGATGGATTCTTTGGCCATGGCCCTCACTCCTTGATGTGTGGGGGCAGTGCGTGCCCTAAACAACATGGTTTTCAGATCCTCCTCAAAGATCAGGCTTAACCACTGTGAGGGAAAGATCTCGGTCTAGCACGAGCATTCAGGTCCTCAGGCCTGACGCTCTCCGTGGGGTGACTTCCAGGCTCTCTCTGGAGAGACACACAGAAGCTGGCACAGTTGGCTTCATTTGTAACCAGGAAGAACAATCAACGATCCATGCCCGGTGTCCCGGTCGTCTCATTGTGGCGAGCACCAAGAACCAGGCCTCAATGAGCACGAGTAGAAGTTGAGCGGCCAAGGCCACTGGAGACGATGAGGAGGCAGAGAGAGTCTGGGGAGGCGAGGGGAGGAGAAGAAAGAAACATGAAGGCTTCTGAACGCGTTCAATCACCCACCTCCCCAGGTGTGCCTAGATTTGGAAAGTGAAGACTTCAAAGTTCCTGCAGCACAATGAGACAAAAGATCCCGTCTAACTTCCACATGTCAGCACAGGCCCTGCTCCCTCAAACCTTCCCACTGTCACAGCATCGTGACCACTCTTAAAGAGGACGGCTGGGAGGTAGGACATAGAGCAGTCACCAAGTAACAGCACAGACCAACAAACAGCTGGACACAGGTGTGGCAGTCACTTCTGAAGCAGGTCTCTGCACAGTCCGATCACTGATGTGCCAGGGCAAACCCTAAAGCAATACCGAATCACAAGGGTTAACAACTGAGGCAACTGCCTTCTTGCACACGTTTAAAGAAGACACTGGGGGCAGTGAGGCGGTGCAGTGGATAGAGCACCGGCCCTGAAGTCAGGAGGACCTGAGTTCAAATCCGGCCTCAGACCAAATCGGGCAAGTCACTTAACCCCAACTGCCAGAAAAAGAAGAAGAAAAAGAAGAAGAAGAAGATACTGAGAGCAACAAAACAGCATGTGGATAAAAGAAGAGACAGCAGCACACATCATCACCTCTTCCAAAGGAAGCTTATCCTGACCGGTTCCCACGAGAAGACCAAGAGGTGAGAAAGCACCTGAGGGAGGAGACACAGGATCTCCCAGCTGAGAAGCAAAACATGGAAACTATAGGTGGGCATGCATGCACATATACATCCATGTGCGTGTATACACGATGTGCACTGCACGTGTATGTTGTACGTGTGTGTGTATGTACACACGTGTGCATGGATAAACTCTTAGAATATGACAGAAAACCATCAGGACTATTGTCTCATGAAATAATGCAGAGCAGAGCAAGGAAAAACCCATTTTCAGGAGTGCTGGGGAGAGGCCAACTTAGAAGCTCATCCCCTGGGCACTGAAGCGAGAAAGGAAAAGAGAGGCGATGAACAGCTGAAAACAGGATTGGTCCAGACTTCTGTAATAAATCCTCTTCTTCAGCAAGGCCAGTGGAGCCACCCATTTAAACTCGAGCATCACAATCCACATTGCTTTCTCGAAGATCTCATAGACTGTCCGTTGTCATCCCTTGCCCTCATTACAGGACAGGACTACTTCCTTTTCTGATAATACCTTCTTAATATTATCGTTTATGCTGGATCTCTTATGAATTTATTTGTTGGTAATACCTTGTAGCTGGCTCAGAAGCATCAAGGGCCTCCCTTTTGCTCAGTGACTTACAGTTTAATTTTAAAAGCCTATTTTATTTTTTAAATTTTTTTAATGAGCAAAAATTTGCCCCTTTTCTCTCCTGCTCCAACCTGCCCCCTCAATTTAGACTGAAAGAAAAACAAAAGCCCCATGCCAAATACGTATAATTAAGCAAAACATTTCTGCAGTGTCCATGTCCAAAACCAAAACCAAGCCAAACACCTCATTCTGCACTGAGTCCTTCACCTCTCCATCAGGAAATGGGTAGGACATTTCATCATCAGTCCTCTGGAATTATGGTTGGTCATTACACTGATCAAAGCCCCTAATTCTTTCAAAGTTGTTATTCTTTACCCTACTGTTACCATATAAATTGTTCTCCTGGTTCTCTTCACTTCACTTTGCATCAGTTCATTCAGATCTCCCCAAGCTTCTCTAAAACCATCCTCTTCATCATCGTGGAGCACTTCAGTATTCCATCACCATATTACATACCATCATTTGCTCAGCCATTCCCCAATTTATGGGCACTGCTTAGACTCCCATTCTTTGCCACCTCAAAAAGAGCTATAAGTACTTTTGTACATCCTTAAGAGTTTTTGTTTGGAACCAATCCTTCTCTTAATCTATCTCTTCCTAAGTCTCCCTTATCTCTTTCTCCCCTTTATCTCCCTGCTGAATTCCCCGTTGAATGAAATGCTTTTCTCTACCTAACGCTTTGTGTGTACATGTATGAACACGTGTGACCAGTTCAGATGAGAGTGAAGTTCATTGGTCGGCTGTCCCTCTGACCCCTACCTCCTTCTTGTCCAGGTGTCTACTTGTGCATCCTGATTATTTGACACAACTTTCCTTAACCTTATTTTCCTCCCCCACCTGGTACACTCCTCTTCCCTGCTCTTTCTATTCTTCTCTTAACCACTCCATGGCCGTGTCTAATTACACTCCCTCTATGACTACTCAGAGAGGACACATGCACCGTCTCCCTACATGTGATATGCAGTTTATCCTTTTTTAGTCTCTATGCTTGAGCTTCAAAGTTTATAGGTAGCTCTGGTCTTTTCTTCAGGAAAGCTGAGATAGAAATCCTCTATGTCATCAAAAGTCCATTCCCCCCACTCCTTGTATTCTTATACTTAGTTGCTCTGGGTAAGTCACTCTTGGGTGTAAGACTGGTCTCTGCCTTCTGGCATTTGGCAGTGTAGGCCCCACACTCCTTCAGAGTGGTGCCTGTTAACCAGGGTGCGATCCTACTGTACTTGAATTCTTTCTTTCTAGAAGATAGCAGTATTTTTTTCTTTGCTGTGGAAGCTCTGGATCCTAGCCATCATGTTCCTGGGAGTTTTCACTTTGGAGTTTCTTTCAGGAAGTCACCAGTGCGTTCTTTCTATTCCACTGTTCCCTCTGGTTCCAAGACATGTGGGCAATTTTCTTGAAATATGGTGTCACAGCTCTTTTGGGGGCATGGCATTC